ACAAATACGCAACTTTATAGAGGTTTGAAGGAGAATGAACGGAATGCGAATGGCCACATACATGAACCGAAATTGAAGGTCCAAATCTTGAGTCGGAATACCAAAAGTTTCATTCCATGTAAAGATTCCACAATGGGAAATTTGCATAAATAAAGTCAATAATTAAATTTTTTGAGAGTATTCAAGATTAAAGAAAACGTCAATCATGATGTTTCAGAATCCATGCAAAAGTCATCACACAAATAAGTAAAATGAAAATTCCATTGATGAAATTGGCTGCCATTACATTTCAGCCGACACTGGCTGCCATTATAAAATTAAAAGAACAAAAATGTAAGACAAAATCATCCTACAAGAAAGGTCAGAATATTAATGTCTTAATTACAGCTTGCCCAAAAAAGAGCACATCTGTTCTCTAACTGTCTCCCATTCATCGTGCTGTTCAAGGGAAGTGGTGGATAGTTCGATCATAAGTTCATCGTCGACTTCCAGTTTCAAGGAACTCTCAAACAAAGATTTGTCTCGCTCAATTCTTGGGAAACAGTACGCTTTTTGGCGGCTAACCTAGCCTTACAGTCATCCATCCTTACTTGAAGTTCATTAATCTCTACAGCCAGGTTCATCATCAAAGAATCTTCAACCATAACCTCAGAGGAGATTTCGTGTAGATTGCTCTTGGTCTTCTCAATCTCTCGAAGCAATTTTTTTTTTTTCATTTACAACATGAAGATATCGAGTCTTCTTGGCCTTTAACTCTACATTTTTGGCGAGTAAAGAACTTTTGGATAATCTTTACCGCCAGCATACAATCGGATGAAATTTTAAGCGAAGTAAGCTCAAGTGCTTGAGCCATTTTTGCACTTAAAAGCTCAAACTTATCTCTTTGGCTAGAAGCATTGGCATTGTTGATATCCATATCCATGAAGGAAACATATTCAAGTACTGATTGCTTGAGAATGTTCATGTTTTCTTCTGAGAATGCAGCAGATGAAGTAGAAGGACGACTGGCTGAAAATGAACGAGAAGTAACGCTTGCCCTTATTTGTTCTCAAGAAGTAAACAAATCCTGAATGGAGCTTAAAATGGCATCAGCATCCTGTAAAAAAAAATGAAAGCATTTAGCATTTTCATTACAGTGAACGAAGTGAAGATGGAAGATAAAACAAAGGCTACCTCATCAGTAGCTTTGGAAAATTGGGGCACATCACTGGTCCAAGCACTTGTGGGGACTTCCCTTTATCTGAACGAGTAGGCTCTTCCGCATCGGGCAGATCTGTGGGTATCTCTGTCGGAATCAAGTGATAATGAGTTAAAGGCCAATAACACATATAAGGGAAAAGACCACAAAACATGTATTAACTTTCGATTCAATACGTGGGAGGTCAGCTCCTTGGGAAGGTGGAAGTTCTCCAATTGGCTGTGTGATCAAAGACTTTTGGACAATGGCCTTCTCCGTAGGTGAAGTCCCTTTGTCGGATGACTTAGATGAGAAGCTTTGGTGGAAGGACGTGGAATAAGAATCGGTAAATGCAGAGTCTTCAAAGGAGAAGTTGAGCTTTTCTGAAAATTTCAGGTAAAACATTAACATATAAAAGATTTTTCATGAATAAACAAACTCAAATACCTTTATCTTGATGACGATAGGGGCATCATCATCATCGGGCAAACCTGACGAAGCTGAAGCTGGTTGTTTGCGGCTGGAAACACCTTTAGCCGTTCTGTTTGAGCAGGTGAGGAATTAGATGGAATACCAGGATGTTTAACATGAGCATGTGGGGATTTTGAAGGAGAAATAGGATTCCTGATAGATATAGGAATGGCAGGAATAAGAGAAACGGAAGAAGTCCATGGCCTTTCCAACAAGTGGAAAGCACAGATGGCCAGAATTGTTCAAAAAGAGGATGAATGACAAAAGTGGGATTAAAAGAGGCTAAGGAGAAATCATTTGTCAAAAGGGTATTGCGAGCATCAATGGCCAGTGCCTTTGTTTTATTGATGGTGTGAAACATTTTGTTAGACTTTTGGAAAAGCAAGGAGGTACATGCCACGTTTGGCCAAAACCAAGCTGACAGACAACAAATTGGGGAGCATATATCTCAACCCCTGCCTTAACATTTGTTCCAATTAAGATTTCATGGAACAACTCTTTCCCAATCAAGTATTGAGCCCAAACAGGCAAAAAGGTGCTCACATCATCCATAGTAGAAGGAGGTCACGTAAATGGGAACTGAGTGAACATGGAAAGGAAAAAAGGTAGAGATTGAATTTAAATTATAAAAAAAGTGAAAACGTCCATATTGGACATATTAACATGGCTCAATTGGTTGATGACTAGCCCGTAACAACTGACCAATCGAGGAGGAGCTGATGGAGCACCCAGTTAAGAAAAATATGCTCTCAACCACAATTGAGCGAGCCAAGAGGTCCGTTGCCAGTAGGAGATACACCTTTTCTCAACTGAAATTGAAGGGAAGTGATGTCTCTATAAAATGCAGATAGGAATAACGAACAAAGATTTAGAGACCTACTACGCGCTAATTCATGCGCTATGGGCAAATAAGTCATAGAAGGTTTAACACTGGGAACACAAGGCCAAACTTGAAGAAATGCAACACGTTCAGCATAGTTAGGTTCAGCACTAGAATTGCTATAAAGTTTTTGCATGCCTGAATAAGAATCAGTGTATCTCTTATCANTTTTTACAAAGCCAAACTTGAAGGAAGGAAACACGCTCAGTATGGCTAGGTTCTGCACTAAAATTGTTATAAAGTTCTTGCATCGCCGAATAAGAATCAGTGTATCTCTTATCAAATTTTGGATAGCAGCAGTAGTCAAAATGGCAGGAAAAATGGTGTCGCCCAGGGGCGGAAGATTAACTTAGGCTCTAACATCTCTCAGAGTAATGGACATTGGGCCAAGTGGGAAGATAAAAGGTATTATATTCAGAAAACCAAAAGCTCAAAGCAATAGGGAAAATCACAGAGTCAGAGATTAGGGACGGAGAGCGATTTCAAATAAATCAGAAATCCCAACACGATCAAAAATTGCCTTGGTAGGGCCATGATTTGTCATACGTGCATGCCAAAGGTAGAAAGTAGTATCAGTTTTGGACCAAGTGCGAATACCCTTTTCACGGATTGACTTTAGGGCAAAAAAGTTCAGAAAAGGAGGATCTTGAGTGTAAGGGAACAGTTGGCCCACCGCTAGGGCTGGGCAAAATGTCCGAACCGAATCGAACCGAGCGGGTTTTTTTAAATAAAATACCGAACAGGTATCCGAATCGAGAACCGAATGTTTTGGTTCGATTCTCGGTTCTAGACCCAGAATCGAAGAATCGAATAAGAACCGAATTTTTTTTTTTATATTGGATAAATCAATTTCTTTTATTTTTTCTAAACAAATTAATAATTTTTTTCTTATTAAATCTTATTAGTTGAACAATTTAGAGTTTATTTATATTTGTTAGTT